CCCCATGTCTCTCTTTTCCAGATTCACAATAGCGAACACCATAATCAGCCAGCTGATTGTGAATATGGTTCAGGACATGTCCAGAAATGTTGTGTATCGAATAAAAAAGTATGCAATACCTTTAACCTTGTCAGAAAAAAATCTTCGTTGTGTGATACGTCTGCCTGCAACAAAACACCATTCACTGTTGTTTTGAACTTCCCACTCTTCCGGTAGAATGGACCAATCAAATCTCCCCTTAAACATCTTATCACTGAAAAGCTTAAGCGCTGAAACGACCACGTCAATGTGCGGGAAACATTAACCACCAAGAAATAGGCATAGCGTTGTCGGAGTTAATCAGCTACATATATTTCTTACAAAATAATATGATGTCGCATTTTAAGTAAAGGAATATAAAAGGTATGCTGTGTGTACACAAAATATTGATAAATGCGTTAAAATGACTGAAAACATGTTATGTGTATAGTAATGCGCTACTTTCTTTTTGCCAATTTTGGCGGAATGTTTTGTTTACATCAGCTACAGTAGTGCAGATACGTTTATATTGCATGTATACGTCTCTGAGTAGGGCCATCATCTGTTTTATATCTGCCTTTTTGAATCCTCCATTCAATTTTTTTAAAAAGCCAATCATAAATTTGTCAAATTGTCTCAATTTACACCTTCATCTTCCCATATGAAAGGGGTTCTTTTCTGGTTAAATCTGGATATATATCCCAATGAAATATATACAGAGATTAACATACATGTGACCTAGATCACGTCCATCAATCAAACGTGTAAAATATTACAGCTAACTAGTATATATATAGTATTACATGATAAAGTAGTGCTCATTCTGTTTAGGATAATTATATGCTGAACAATATATATATATGCTTATCTAGTTTGCTTTATAACTCCAATGCAAACTGTCACACTAGTCAGCACACTGGTAATTTTCTTGTCAATACATTTTATGCCATTTGGCTTATGGTTATAAATAACTATTCTGTTTTGTTTAACGACAACTAAGGGGACATTTTAAGTTCTGTTATGACAAAATATAATATCCTTCTGATAAAGTGAAGACAGATCCATAATGTAACCACAGAATTACATTATCTAAGTCCGTGAAGTAACATAGGAAAGATTTCTGCATTGAAAATTGTCAATTATTGAATATTAATACCCTATATATATTTTCCCAAAAAAATGTCTATTACAAGTAAGCAGATGTCCACAAAGTCGAATACTGAGTACATTTCCTGTAAATCAAATTCTTGCAATTCAAGTATGCACAGGTTATGCATTTTGTGTTTTCACACGTCAAAATTGTATATTCCACATTTGCTCTGCATCCTTCCATTGCAATGTATTGAGATGGCAAATGATGTTATGAGAATATAACAACATGCACATTTGTAAAAAAAAATTATGTAAATATAAATGATTTACATTTTAGCAAATATCGTTATGTTCCTGTACCACACATTTCTAATGTTGACAAACTTACATATAAAGCCCTATATTGCTACAGTGCTTTATTTAGTTTGTCATCAATAGCAATGTGTGTTATAGGACTATAACAACATTTGCTAAAACCTTCATTGCTTAAATATATTATTTTGTATCTTCAAACTGTTTATGTTCTTTGAGAGATTTTCAACAGGTTTTATCTAAAAAAATGTCAGATGATAAAACTAAATTGCGCATATTTTTAAAGTTGTTGCAACAGAGGAACTGTACGTGTCTTTTTCTTTTTAATTTGTGGTTATACCGTGATGAACTATCAGGACTATCCATTTGTATTTAGGATAGTAAGTGAGACGGAGAGGTTAAAACAGTTGTTTGTATATTTGAAAACAAAATATGTACAAAATCACATGCCTCTGAACGCTCCCTTTCAAAGGTAAGGAATTTACTTGAAAATGAAAAAAATAAGAGAGAGCCATTTTCAAAACTCAAAATGAAAAGTGCTGCATGTATAACAGTGATTTGATGACATATTCATTGTTTTGTTTTCATAGATTTGAGACCGAGGCACAGTATGTAAAGCATATCTACATAATCTAGACATCCGCTGAAGATCTAGACTAATCATGGGACTGATTGGTGGAGGATCTGAGACGGAAAAAAAGACTTGGTGTGTTGAAGGTAGTGATGATGAGAAATATGACCCTTCAGAGTCCGGAAAGGGTATATGGGAACCTAAACCTGAAGATATTCTTAAATTGTTTGAGAAAATTGAAAAGGAAAAAGTTCTTGAATTGAGTTGGAAATGTCCTGGTCGACGCCCACCGAAGGGGGCAGAGGAGGAGGACATGGACGCCACCCAGGATCCTAGTGTGGAGGTGGAACCGGAGGAGGCAGAAGAGGAGCCAAAGTAAGGAGCTATGAACATGCCTATGTATAAGTTATAAAGTCATAATATTAGCCTGACCAGATATTCAACTAGCGAGGAATAAATTGTGTTTTACTAAAAGCAAAATATATTAATATATAATGTGCCCCTTATTTGCTGCTGATTTGATGTTTAATAGTTAACCAGTCTTGAAGCCTTTTCCTTCTTCCAAAATCAAAATGTTTTCTCATAAATCAAATTTTGTGACCACAATATTCAATCTCATCTACATTTTCTTCTATTTTAATATATATATTTTCTCTTTTCTTCATTAATGCAAGTACTAGTTTATTAGCTTACCTGACCTGTCTCGAATGGCTATAGCTCAGCTTCCATTGTTTGTCTCTGGCCAGCACAGCTGGAGCAATTTTGACTGAATGGATCTTACTTAACCCTTTCACCTCTAGGTAACTTTAGTAGACTCTACCATACATTGATCTGGATGACTCCATTACAGCCTACAGTGGAGAAAGGGTTAACTGAATCAGCTTCTCAGCGGGCTCTGACTTGTTTCTGTATTCTCTGCAATTCACATTTTATGTATTCTGTTTCTTGAAGGCCACAACAACCAACCGAGTTCGATTTTGACGAAGATGAATTTGACACTGCTACAAAAGTGACTCCGAGGAGAACGCCAGGTTTGTGACTAAAATTTGTATCTATAACACGATCACAAAAATATGATCTGGAGTGTGATATGACAAGTGTAAAAAATTAGCCGAGACAAAAAACATCCTAACTGTAACGTCATCAGGAAATTGCGAGTATATGGTTGTAACGATTTGTATACATCAAGAGTAATACAACATTGATCCAGGAGTAGAGCCAATGCCGTTACTTTAGTTCAGGTTCGGTTGGTTCCGTATATCCCTTGCCTGGATACCAACCAGTATGCAGTTAGGGCGATTGAAGAAATGGGGAAACTAAGAATAGGTGTCAATCGCAAAAAGCTCGGGATCAGTTGAATTTTCTTTATTAGGATACGTCTACCGGTTTCGGCCTAACAGTGGGCTTCTTCAGGACGATTAAATGAAAGAGTAATGCAAGATGTTTGAAAATAGATTGTATCACACTTGTATGGACACTTTATATGCCGAGCTTCCTGCCCTTTGTGCTAAAACAACGCGAACGTTTTGTTCCTTTCCATGTTTAGATTGCAAAATCATAATCGGTGTAGATTTAATTTTCTAATTGTTTGGTCAAAATCGTAAACTTTTAATAAAAGCCTGCTTAAATAACCCGCCATACAATATATTCAATCGCTTCTCCTCAAAACATACATTGCAGTGTTTTATAAAAATTCTGTATTGAAACCAAAAGTTGCTACTTTGTAAATGTTTGTAATGGGTTCAAAATTGAGGACCAGTAGTTACACGAATAATTTTTGAGATGCGTCGGAGTAGTAGACCGATGTTGAATTTTACAATATCAACTATTAAATTTAGGGAAGTAAGTTTGGTGACATTTGCGCATTGTCTTGTTCTTTATAGAGAATAACTTTTCCTGTAAATATCATTTGAGCATTCGTTATTTTGAACAGGTGTCAAAACGCCAAAGTCTCAAAAAAAGGTTGCCCGTATGGACAAGGTCTTACAAGACATGATGATGCAGCGCATACAAAACGCTGCCGAGAAGCAGGCCAGACGTCAGGGACGGAGCCCTGGTAGCACCCCAGCTGGTCGGGTCAGGATGGGAATGTCTCCAGGGTCAGGAGGTCACAGATCACCAGGGTCATCTCCAGCCTCTTCACCAGCCCCTGTCAGACCTGGTTCCTCTCCAGGAATGGGCATGAGACTCTCTAGACCTGCCATGAGCATGCCCACACGGCCCACTATGGAAGCTGGTATGACTACACCAGTTCGGTCAATGCCCTCTACAGATATCGGCCAGACGCCGCCACCACCATGGTCTGCGTCCAACACAAACATAAATGGGACCCCACCTACCCAGGCAAGGCCCAGCAAGGATTTGGGAAATCCCCCTGTTGGAATTCCTCAAGGGGGTACTCCCCAAACTTCCCATGGTTCAGCCTCGACTTCCTCTGTGATGTCCACTTTACCCTCCAATAACATAGCGGTCAATTCAGCGTTGACCGCCACTCCTACTGGCCAGAGGGTCGGGACAGACACTGTGATGAATAGTGCTAGAGAATTTCCCCCACTTCCTCCCCCTCCTCCTGAGGGAGGAGGCGTGTGATGGGTGTATTTGTAAATGTTTTAGTTTTATCTCCGAGAAGTGCGAGACAAGTAGATCTGTACTAAAAAAGTTATTGCGAAAAACAAATCAATAAACTGTACAGATTTGAACTCCATTGACTGGAAGACAGGGATTTATCTGTGTGTGATTCAGTTCTATACACGAAAACGTAGAGGCTTTATCCAAAGCAGAAAGAAGTGTGTAATAATCATTTACCATAGAGAAAACAGCACATTCTACTACTCTTATATACTGATTTTAGAAACAATATGAACAAAGAACTATTTTACTTATGTTTTATTTATAATCTTCTGAAGAATTTAAAGTTAAAAGCAAAAGTTGGTTTCTTTTGTTTGTAAAAACCCTGGCTAGTCATGTATTAAATAGTATTCCGTCTTTGCGTATTGCAGTTATCTTCTCTTGTGAGCAGGTGTTGATTGTTACATCATTGGTTTGTGTAAGAAAATTACGTTGTTTCTCAAAAACTGATGACGTTACTCTCACAAACCAATGACGTAACAATCAATACCTGCTCACAAGAGAAGATAACTCTGCAATACGAAAAGACGGAATATCCATCTGATCTGTGTTTTGAAATAGTCTTTTTAGAAAATAAACTTAAATGTGTAGTACACATCAATTTCATGTTTGTTCTGAATTTGAAGCAATGTGACCAAAATGTATAACAGGGTTAAAGTAATGAAGAAAAAGTTGATGAAAATGACAATTTGAAGTTATCTGGCCGATACAAAAACTTCAGTGTTGTAATTCAGATTTTTGAATTAAACGAAGTGAAATAAAATCAATGGTGTTGTTTTTTGTTTCTCCACTTGAAAATACGGGGTATATGGTGTTGCCAAAGTGCATCCATCTCTCAAATTGTATGTCATCTCTGTGTTAATCTTCCATCTCTCAAATTGTATGTCATCTCTGTTAATATTCCATCTCTCAAATTTTAACAAAGAAGTGTTCTTTTCATCACAGCGAACACATCCAATTAGTTAGCTTAACTCATTTACCCCTGAAATTTCATGATGAACTATTCCAACATTTGAATTGGAAGAGTTCAAATGTGTCTTCAGGGGTGAATGAGTTAATATTTGCGTTAACCTGTATACAAAAAAAAGTAACACAAATAAATTCATAAATCAATTTCTTTAATTAGTGCCAAAGAACCTGCAATGGTACTCCAAGAAAGAGTAGCTGATGGGCTTTTTATTGGTCACTGCCCCTATGCATGGAAAGTAAGGGGGGGGGGGGGGGGGTATGAGGGAGAAAAGCTTTGTATCCTCATATCTGAGTGATTATCAGTCATTGAAAAAAGAAAAACTACATGCAGTGAAAATGTCATAAGCACAGTTTATTTATATATTTTTTCTAATATAAAGACAACATAACCACAAATGGTACAATAGACAAGCATCCGTTCTCGTCATTCTCCCTAAAACATGAAAACTTGCACCTCGCATTTCCTGGTCACATCATCAATAGGAAATGATTTCTGTACGCACTACAAGTAACATAGAATATAGATATTTATTTATATATATAGATATTTAATCAAAGATCTCGGTAATTTGTAAATGCACAAAAAAGAAACTAGAAAATAGTGAAAACGAAGGGAGATAAATGTCAGCTAATCAAGGTAAACATTGCTTCATCAACATGAAAATAGACGGCCTTCTCATTATTATAACTTTTATGTTTAAACCACATCTTTTGGCTTTCTTTCTTATCAAATCCTGTTCATTATCCATCAGATTTTGGCTCATAATCTAAAGTTTATTCCTGGAACCAACACCATAAAGAATGAGAACAAGAGGCCCACAGGGCCTGTAGTATGGGCCTGTATCTTATCTTACTGGACAAGAAGTTAAAATGCTTCTGATTAAATTGTGACCATGGAGGCCATCTCGGATTTCCTTTCGCACCAAAGAATTAACACAGCAACATTTCTTAAGGGCTATGACTGGAATGTATGTATGATGTTTGGTCAGGAGGAAATAAGAATTTAGTCAAATATGCCTCAGCCAATCAGACGACAGGAGAGACGAAAAATGACTCCTATTTGGGATTATGGGAGCATTATTCATATGAAGTTAAGTTGCCATTAGCCAGGCAGAAGTTGAAAATGTCCATGCCGATCTGAAAACAGGTGGTCATCTTTGATTGTGAACTAGATAGAAAATTAACAACACTTCTTGGCCAGGGGCTGAAAGAGAAACAGTTGCATGAAAACTTCAAAAGTGACTTAATGAAAGTTGAGAAGCAAAAATTGTCTCGTCCAGTAGGATATCAAGGCAAACATTTGGATTTTTCGAAAAAAACACCTTCTATTATTAGACCTGGAGAAGAAGTTAAAAAAAGTTTCTGTCCCATTCCCATGATGACCCCCACTCCTCTGCTCTCGAGGAAAGCCTATTATACTTTATTTAAACAAATAAACGTGCACAAAGTTAGGTCAAAATCCCTTTATGTGTACTAAAAAGTAGTCTTTTTGAGGAAAAGTTGACAATCTCTTCAAGGCATAAGCTCACTCCGTCCTTCAGGGAGGCAAGATAATCATATAGATGAAATGAGTGAAGCAATATTTGTATGAAATAAACCAGAAAAAAAAATATTCTCACAATCATAATGTTCATTTCCATAAAAGCTCATGGTTAAGATAAGAGACAACAATTGATAAATATCAGCCCTTCCAAGAGAAGATAACTATACCCCTTCCCTATACCAAATACCATGCAAGTTTGATTTCAGAATCAAGCCATTTTCACTGGCATAATATATAAGACAAGTACATGTAAATAACGCTTACAACTGCCCAATCCTTACCATAATATCATTTCACCATGGTCATCCTCTGAAAATATTTGGGTGAAATATTGAAATAGCAGTTGATTTTCTTTAATCTTGAAACACCAAATATAGGCAAAACATGAACTAAATATTTAGACTGATGTAAAAAACATGAATTATTAAGAATGATGTAAAGAAATGGTGAACCGTTGCTTAAGCTTGATATTCAAAGTGGGATTTCAGTACAAAATGTATCAGTGTATGCGAGTCAATTTTGGAGTTACTTGAATTTGGTTAAAAATTCAACTAAAAATTATCAAATGACCTTTCAACTAAAGTTCACTAGCAGCGTGTATTGCGACAACAGTATAGATGTTTTGGGTTTTTCTCTACACCTTTTTTTAAACAATGAATTAAGGAAATGTGAGGACATCTTTAAACTTATCGCACAGTAACCAAATTTTACCAACCATTTCCTTTATACTGTCAAGCTGGTTTCCTCCTAGTTAGTAGGTACACCTATACCGGCAATGTACACTCCATATACGACAAATAACAGGCAAAATTATTCTCTAATTAACAGAATGTACCAGCAAATATTTCATATTTTCACAATCTGGCATATCTTAATAAAAATACATCCATTAAATCCTTTAAAAATCGTGAAAAATGTTGTAATAATCTTCTGGATATAGAGGGGGGCGGGAAATTCTTCAAAATGTAATGCCACACTTTATCAGCTTAACCTTCCAAAACTTTTATCTGAAATATCAAAATCTCTTAGCCTGACCACTAGGTACAGTGTCCACATTATGGTCATCAGTGACCATACTTGGGGCCTGTTCATTTATGTGGAACAAACGGTTTGTCTGTCTTTAAATGTAACATTTTCGGGTATTAATCCTGGCGGACCTGCAAATGTTTGCGCAGGTCTTGCAAGGCTTTGTCAAGGCTCGCCTGAAAGCAGCAAGAGATTAATAAGTCGGACCTTATTTCATAAACGAACAACTTCGGTCCAACCGGTTCAACCGTTTATACCACGATAAACAAAAACGGCCTAGGACAACCCTGGGTCACATTTTGTAGTCAGCTCGAAACCTTTGTACATATATGGTTAGGTACCTATCCAATGAACCATACATAGTTATGCTACTAATTAGATCATAATTATGATAATAATGTAGATTACATGACCATATAGGGTCATACTGCTAACGAGATTTTATTCTAACGAGATCACATAATCTGTCCGAGACAGCTCTAGGCCCTTATTCATGAAAATAACCTCATACCCAAGTATAAACTCTGTGCTCAAACCAACTTTCTTGTAATTTGCTGCAATCCTGCAACAGTCACAAGGCAAAGACTAAACATTGAAAATGGTGTTCAGCTTCAAGTCTCTCAATAATGTCCTCCAAATTAATCATAAATAATGTGAAGTTTTATTTAATTCATGCCTGGATCTGAACACGTAAGTAGCCAGAGTTTCCTCTGGCCCTGACACCAGGCTTAGATGTTTTGACAGATAGATATCTAAGTCTGGTGTCGGCGCCAGAGGAAACTCGGCCTTCCACAGAATCTGAGTTGGAGCATGAAAATCGTCTCGTGAATATAGGCCCTGATCAGTAATAAGGTAACAATCTATACAGTTTAAGACATATGTACAAAGTAAGCATTTGGTATTAAAAATACAATAATAAACAGTGTATATTATGTCTATAATTAATTAATAACAAAATTAGCACAAGTATTCAATATCGCTATATAAAGCAAATAGTATTCAATATTATAGATGTAGACGCTCCTGACAACAGGATTACTCAAGTTAACACAACGCCACAAACTGTTACTAAACATCAAAGAGCTGAAAATTGTAAAACACATACTGTAGTCCCAAGTCCCACCTTTCAGGCAACGTGTACAGTGATATTTCTTAGTGTTTGCAATAACATAACGGTGAATTTTGTAATAATGGCGGCTTCATTTTGTCAAACCCAACGCTGGTTAAATTCAAAAGAATAAAGGATGATTGGCAAGGCCTATTCATCAAAAGAGGTAACCTTATTCAGTGTTTTCCCCATCTTTGAAAAAAAGGAGGGGAGTTGGGAAGCATTGGTCATTATATAGAAATCATTTTAAATTTTAAAGAGGGGTATGTACTCAGTCCCTTGCTCTATAGAAAACACTTCTACTTCACAGCCCAGTATATGTCATTATGCCAGTTATATAAAACAGCTATAATTTTGGTCAACAAAGGCAGCCGGAGATAATATATCGGTACTCAAGATGGAGCGGAACAATCCAGTTGTATATATATATATATATATATATATATATGTATCAAGGAAATGAATGAACAGACATAGAAAATTAAATTACAAAAGGCAAACAATGTTATTTATCAGTTTAACTGTTATCCCACGTATATCCCTAGTAACAAATCTGGTCATTCAACAGAAATCGTCTATCAACAGTACCACAGGGTATTCTCGCCTTCACAAAGCGAGAATGATATGGAATTAAATTGTGTGTTAACTAGAATGTTTAATTGCATGAACTATTTTTTAAATCATGATTGATAGCGAGAGAATTGCACAAAATATGCAAAATCACATTACAAGTTGATGTGGTGAGTTTCATGATGCATGAAGTCATTTTGCCCTATAATATATCATGACTATGAAGGGCAAAAAAATAGTGTGAAATTGTAAACAGTGTTGATGCTAGTTGACTTACATTGTAAGCCTGCTTGTCAAATATTCATATTCATCAGCTTCAAGCTTTACACATTTGAGGAGAACTGTCCTGCCATCATGTATAATTACACTGAATTTGAAGATCCTTCTTTAGTGCTAAGTGTCTGAATCACTTTTAGAGGAATAGAGGCCAGAACCTGCCATGTATAACTGAAACATCTGTTGCAGTCCTACCAGAGAAAATAATTAAGGATTTTATGTCTCTAGAGTTACCTCCCTGGAGGGTAAAGTTTGTGTTTGCAGGTTGTTCATAGTTACAAGGTGAATACTGGCATCATGTTTTTTTTAATCTGGAGACAAAATTTCAACAGCAGTATCAACATATTTTAACATGATCAAATCTATCTTTATACTTCACACAGAAACAAAATGTATATCGCCACCAAGGTTACCGATATATTTCGCTAACGGATAAGAAAAAATCTTAAAGTCACATCAGAGTACTGAGCCTTACAACAATCTTAAGAAAATGCCATTATTTTACAAAGTGATAATTCATTCAGAATTTAAAAAGTGGACAGATTAATTGTGATTTGTTAGCCAAGAAAACAAAACAAAAATCAACTATAGACAACATTACTGCTGCCAGAAATTTAACGCAAAATTATCCGAACTTGAGGTCAGAATTTTTACGAGACTCTTCTGTTTACCGTGTAGCATGTACATCCCCGTACACACGCACTCGTGAAGAAGGGCCGGCTACAACCTCCCCTCCTCACCTCTCTGACAGTACGATTCACTGTTTTGATTCAGTCTCAATCTGTCGCAAGTACTTACATATCACGTACATATCAAACTGAATATATCCAAAAAAATATAAGGAAGTAATTCTCTATCTTTTGGAAGATTGTCATCATTGGTCTATTCATGATATCTCCATAGCGACCCGCCGCTTGATTGGCTAGTAACTTACCGGGTTGGTAAGCAAGACAGTACTGTCAAGTACAGTTATTATAACTATAACAGCTAGTACCACTAGTAGTTATGCCAGAAACCATGACATTTCCATAACTACAGGTAAGTTACAGCGTACCAACATACATCTCGCAGTAGCAGGCCAATTTATAATCAAGAATGACCTCTCAAAGGTCAACATTCAGGCATGGCCCGATACAGGTCGGATCCGACCTGAATTGATATGGGTTGTGCTCATTGTTACTATAGAGGAAAATGGTAGAACACCACCAACTGTCTATGAGAAATGAGTAGAAAGTCATTTTTGTTATATGGTTGTACACAGACAATGAACATCATGGAAAACAAGCAGGTGATGATATGATCTGTCATCCACTTCTGTACCTGTAGAGAGGAAACAAAAACATGGTATTAGTCTACATACAGAATCATTCATTCCTATTTACAATTAATGTAGCACTCTATTTAACACAGAATTGGTGAGCAATACCGTAGACCAGAAAAATGTTCGCAGCAGCTAACTTCTGCTTTTTTCAACCCCAAAATTACCATATTTTACCAGTAATAAGCCCAGGGGCCTGTTCACGAAAACATGTAAATAGTAGGGGGTGGGCTTAGCACCGGATACAAGCCTGTATTTTACCGGTCATAGGCTCAGACTGGACATCTTTGTCCGCCATTTTGGTTCCGGAACTGGCAGTAGATTGTTTTGTGAATATATATATGGGTATTATGATATTACGTTATAAATTGCAAATGAAACCGAAGCAAATTTATCACGACAACAAAAATTGATACACAACATCCTTTATATAGTCGTTACATGTTCAGGGCAAAATGACTGCTGGACTTGTATGGATTTTAATAGTGAAGGGCTAAAGTTTGACTAGGGGAAACTTTCCACCTACCTGTATGATGTATTAACTCACCTCAAATTCAGTTTTTTTAAGTTAAGACATTACATTGCTTCTATTGCAGACTGGCTAACTTAAAGTTTTAGATAAAGGGTACCTCTGCACTAGTTATACGACCGAGAAACTTCCACTTCAGAAGGGTTTTTTTCTTAATTTTGAGTAGTCTCCCTTCTATACAGAAGATAAACCGTTTCCTGGTGTATAGCTCTTATTACTTCCCTTGTTATGGTTTTTGTCACTTATTTTTATGCTGTGCATATATAATTCCTAAATAGCAATATTGTTCATTCATCTTTCATTTTTGTTTAAGTGTAAGAATGTCAGTGGATTGGTCCACAGTTTTTTGGGGGGGTTTTCACTTTTTTACACTTTTGTTTTTTCTATTTGTTAAGTTTTCTTTTCCTTAACAAATTCTCGAATTTCTAACATCAATAATTCTGTAAAATACATTATAAGATGTGATTTGTATGGAAAACTTCTGAAGAAAATGACGTAAAACATGTTTTTCATTTTAGTAACACTACTATCATGTTTCCTCGCTTAACTGTACTCTTCACTTCAAGACTTAACTCGTTCATCCCTACATCTTTTAACTAGACTTGCCCAGCCTACGATTTGGTAAGGTTCAAATGTGATTTTAGGGGTGAATGGGTTAAAAGCAATCCCCATAGTACCTTGTGAGCTGGCTTGTGAAATTATACAGTAGAACTATGTCCTGTGGAGTTAGCTGATGAATTACAGTCTGGTGTTATACCTTTATTCCTTAATTTGGTGTTTCTGTTCCAGAAGTAAAGTTTCTTGGTATATCAATTCCTTCAGTCTTTCTTTTGGGAGATCATCAAGTTCCATTTCAAAAGTGAAAGGTTCCTCAGCAACGGGCTGTAATAACAAACCAGAGCAAATCTCAAGATACGCTTACAGCATTGCAGTAAAAGATATAACTCAGTGTACTCGCTGTACAAACAAGCCATTCGGATTGATATGTCTCGCCTGTGCCCCGCTTTGACCATCAATGCACACATCGGAGAAACTAACTTAAACGCAAAAACTTAATGTTGATGGAGATGCTGACAAAGTCAATGGACCATAAAAGGTAGGCCGCATCCAGCATTTGATGTATGGGTTGAGATGTACTACCAATGATGCAAATATGGTCCAAGTTTGGTTGGTCTAGCACTTATACTTTCAGTGAAACTAACTTACACGCAAAACCTTAATGATGAGGTCGGCTCCCCAGAAAAGCAACAACTTTGTCTCACTTGCGCGACGAGACAAAAATTAAATCTCATCAGAACAAATTTAATCCTTGTAAACCTACACAATGTCAAATATCTGTTCAAGATTGTCAATCAGTGTAAACCTAATAGCTTAATAAATTATTTTGAGCATGTTTAACCCAAAAGTCTGTGGATGTGTTATAGTAGTTTGACCTTTGACCTAGCAAATAACCTTTGACCTACCTCATCAGCAGGGTCATAGTACTGTTCTAGATATGGATGTTCCAAAGCTTGTTCCACAGTGATCCTCTTGTGCGGGTTAAAGGTTAACATCCTCTCCAGAAGGTCAAGAGCTACAACAATACAATGCATATTAGTGAAAACGACATATTTCACAGACTGTCCTGTAGCCCAAAGCTGTTATAGGGGAGACATCTTGTGGTACAGCGAAGGGGCGCTGTGGTGAATTTTAAATTGAATTGTTATTTTATATGATATAGACATAGGGGCTGGCATCCATCATGTATCCTATTAAATTCTAAACAAAACAAACCTACTATCCAGGAAAAAGTGCAAACAGTTCTGATGACGACTCGCCTCCGAGTCGAAACATGTCAATGTTGTTCCAATAAATTCTGACGTTTTGAGGGGTTTGGCATGTTGTACACACTTTTTCCTGGATTTTTACTTACACCAGTGTGAACTCTGTATACCTTCTTGGTATCCACGGTATAATCGATGATGAAATAGAAGAAACATCACTTATCTGGGACGTTGTGTCTCAACCCCCACCCCACCCACCCCTTCTGTGACAAAACCTATCATATTTATATAGCATGAGTGTTAAAGGTCACATTCATGTTAGTGTTGATCAATTCCACAAAGGATGTTAATTAAATATGAAACCTGAGTGGATTAAAAATACATGTACTGACAATAACATCCAACGTAACTACTTATCCTTAACGGTTGAGGTCGGAGGGCGTTTACCTTTCAAATCTGCTTGGGGGAACAATCGCTTCCAGGGTACCTTGGGTTTCTCAGGAAGAGTCTCTATATAGCCCCTGGCCTGGAACAATGATCAACACTCATTCCATCAATGACGAAATGCATGAAAAACTGATTACACAAATTCCTATGTTCTATTTTCTGATAAATTCTATAGAAATATTATTGGAAAAGTACAATTGAAACTGATAAGGTGAATACGATGTATTACCGCAGTAATCGAGCTAAAAATAGAAAACGTATAAACCAAATTGTGTCACAACCCTTTTTATACATTAATCTAATTACTATACATTTCCATTCCATGAAATTGTTACATAGACAAACATTTTCAAATAATATTCAAACAGTAAATTCTCATCAGATAATTTGGAAATTTACAAAAACAAAAATTCATTTGGACAAAATGTCTTGCTTGCATGCAGATGTATAATCAGCTATCGTAATCACAGTAATTAGCACCCTTCCCTTTTTTGGGGGGAAATGGAATTATATAGACCCCAAATTAAAGCAAGAGATTTCAGTCTGATGGTCATGGCTTGACTTCCCATGTATAGGATGGAAATTTGATTTTGTAACCCCCAGCCACGCTTGAATATTTGTGATCAGCACAAATTACATTTTTTTCGTGTAATTTTAAAACTCAACCAATAACAGAATTACATTTTTTTTTTTATATATTTCAATAAAGTTTACGAGTTTTTACCTTGTATATTTTATATATTTCAGTAAAGTTTACAAGTTTTTACCTTGTATATTGATCAAATTAAAAGAGGTTGAAAATTGTCGTTAAACCTTTAGCACAACTAGGCCCCAGGTGCTAATTACGGCGAATACGGTAAGAGATATTAATACTACAAACCTACCTTATCATTGATAATACAGCTAAGATCATCTTGTTTCGGGGAACCTAATATACCCAGTATGTGATTGAGTTGGTCAAGATCTGGTGACCAGGGTCAAGGACATTTGAAACCGTTAAAATGTTTAGAGGTCGGACATATTTTTATCATTCAACCACTGGATTCTGTCATTATACAACATGATTACAATTATGAAATCATAATGAAACTGAAACCTTGTCATCGTTCTACCATTCTTAAATTCTCTCAGATGCCAGTGAAATTTCATACCATTTTTCAGAACCTTGATAATTCTGCGATCATAATCATTTTCTTCTAACTTCCACATTTTCTGTTGAATCTTAATGTAACTTCATAAAAGCATTCTGAACTAGTTATACAAGCATTTGGGTGATTTCTTTGTTTGCTGTGGTTGAATGCACTTCATCTGAACTTTCACTTTCCTGTATAAAAATTCAACAAAATTGGGATTTCACTTGAAGAATTTGCAGGCTTCAAATATCATGAAAAGCATCAAAATAGAAAACTGATCAAATAAAAGTTGTTTATTATGGACAATAGATAAAAAAAAATAAAAAATTTCAGTATGATCTTTAAAATTTCGGGGGGGGGGGGGGGGGGGGGGTTTATGTAGGAAAAGTGCATTTTTGCATAAAATACAGTACAAAGGAATCTCATAAATGCGAGAAAAACTCGGAATGTTGAGAAAAATTCCAATCTGCATATATGAATATCTTTTGCAAATAATACAACAGGTTCTGTTTATATTAATTGGTCAGCATCCTTCAGTATTTCTGTAGAGAGATATATCTGTATAGCTCTGTAGCGGCAATGTTACAGTTGTCTCCCTTTGGCTTCGGTGGCTGATAAATAAAGGATACAGTGCTTTCCGGGGAAGAGTGGCCTGTTTAGGAGCATCTCTGCCAGTATACATCCCACTGACCACACATCAACTGGACACGGTCAAGGACAAATAATCTTGTGCAATACAAAACGATATGAACATATACTTAATTTACGTTAGCCGTAAGCAGCATCTCAAATGTATAAACATGAAACAATATTTTGTACAGTACTGTTTTTGAAAGTGTTAATTTTCATTTTGTGGTCAGGTTTATAATCCATTCACAGAACAATGAATACAATACAATATCAGTTTAGATCATGTCAATAGTATTTTGCTATAATGCAAATTAAATTTTAAATCTTAAAAACTTTTTTTTTATTTTGGAGACAAATTTCTTCACTTTTTTAAAACACATATTTTTTGCACTTTTGTTAAAATTTTCTTACTTTTTTCCTATTTTTCAATGTTTGATAGATCAGTGATAATTTTATTGAAAACATAGACAATATATGGTTAATAACGTATCACACTTCCATATTGGTAAAGGATACTGGACTTGGTGTAACCTTTGGAATTAAGCATGATTTCTGGCGCTCTGTACCATCGTGTGGCCACGTATTCAGTGAGAAAGCCGGTGTGGTCGTGTTCAGGGTCTGCAACTCTCGCCAATCCAAAATCACAAATCTGGATGACAAAACAGGATAAATGTTATTGAATCACTGCATCACAAGTTTATAAATGATACAATACATTTATACACTACACATATTTCAGTTAATAAATATTAATTAGGACAACAAAGAATCTGATAATGGAGTAAGAAAAGGATATGACCTACAGTGATACAGGGGAGTACAGTGGAGGGAGGATGTTGGTGCCCTAAGTCAAAGGTATCGTGTCTAGGAGAAGGAAGGCCTGAATCACTGTAAAATCAGTTATCGGTTAGGAAAAGGAAGGGTTGAATCACCTAATATCACAGTTATCAGTTAGGAGAAGGAAGGGTTGAATCATCGTAAAATCAGTTATCGGTTAGGAAAAGGAAGGGTTGAATCACCTAAGATCACAGGTATCGGTTAGGAAAAGGAAGGGTTGAATCGCCTAAGATCACAGGTATCGGTTACGAAAAGGAAGGGTTGAATCACCTAATATCCCAGTTATCAGTTAGGAGAAGGAAGGGTTGAAAAACCTAAGATCACAGGTATTGGTTAGGAAAAGGAAGGGTTGAATCACCTAATATCACATTTATCAGTTAGGAGAAGGAAGGGTTGAAAAACCTAAGATCACAGGTATTGGTTAGGAAAAGGAAGGGTTGGATCACCTTAAGATCACAGTTATCGGTTAGGAAAAAGAAGGGTTGAAATACCTTAAGATCACAGTTATTGGTTAGGAAAAAGAAGGGGTCAATTACCTTAAGATCACAGTTATCGGTTAGGAAAAAGAAGGGGTAAATTACCTTAAGATCACATGTATCGTTTGGGAGTAGGAGGGGATCAATTACCTTAAGATCACAGGACAGGTATCATTTTGGAGTAGGGGGGATCAATTACCTTAAGATCACAGGTATTGTTTGGGAGTAGGGGGATCAATTACCTTAAGATCACAGGTATCGTTTGGGAGTAGGGGAGTAAATTACCTTAAGATCACAGGTAGTGTTGAGGAGCAAGTTACTTGGTTTGAGATCTCGGTGAAGCACGTTAGCGGAGTGGATGTACTTGAGCCCACGGAGGATTTGGTAGAGGAAGTAACAAACGTGATCGTTACTAAGTGTCTGTGTCTTTAGCAGCTTGTACATGTCCGTCTCCATCAAACACTGTACAATGTATCTGGACAAGTGGTTAAGGAAACTAGCACAACACAAAATACACACACTAATTTCTAAAAAGAAACTGAAGATGACTTTCAGGATTTACATACAAATTATGCTGCAAGGTACATGTATATGTATATCAAGAGAATTCACTACTATTTACAAAAGAACGATGATAATAATACAAAACACAGGCTTAGGGATTACCGTACCACTGTCAAAAGCTGTTAACTATGGATTGAAAACTGTATTTCTGGCAACAATGCATGACATGCTTTTTCTTACACCTGTCAATATAGGCAAAATTATTTGTGCATATCTCATCCAGAATTCAATTCAATAGCCACTGAAGAACAGGACAATGCTGAGTTAGATCACTGTTTTTACATGTTTGACCCCAGGTGTGACCTTGAACGAAAGCCAAGGTATTTTTTATTTTTAGCAAACTTGTATTTTAATTAATAGCACTCTGTCCCAGGTACCTACTGGCAAAATATCATTACTCTGGGCCTCCTGCTTATTCAGCAAAAGACGTTTAAATGTTTCAAACATTTGTGACCTTTAAAGTAGGTCAAGGTAATTTATTTGAGGAAACTTTGTAGCACTTCATGCCAGGTACCTACTGGCCAAGTATTATTATTCTGGGCCTCCGGGTTATTTAGAAGTTGTTTCAAGGTTTTTACCTATTTGACCCCTGTGACCTTGAAAGTAGAACAAGGTCATTTATTTAGGGCAACTTTCTATCACTTTGTCCAAGGTACCTACTGGCCAAATATCATTACTCTGGGCCTCCTGGTTATTCAGAAGAAGAGGTTTAGATGTTTTAATATGTTTGACCCCTGTGACCTTTTATTAAAAGTAGGTCAATGCCTTTTATTTGCAGACACTTTAGAGCACTTCATGCCAGGTACCTACTGGCCAAATATCACTGCTCTAGGCCTCTTGGTTATTCAAAAGAAGATGATTGAAGGTTTTCAACACTTTTTACCCTTGTGTCAGGTGAGTTAAAATTCGGGTATCCACAGTTATGTGATGAGGTGAATTTTGTTTTTATTTCGGCAGATTAAAGTTAAATTTATCTTCAATCAGATTTGTTAAGACTTTCTTTGTGCATGTAATGGGTGATTATCAGAATTTCTACATAACCGCCGCGACAGCTGTTAACAGGCGACTCAAAATTGTAAAACATTTCATTATCTGTCTGTGGGCTCATATGCCAACATATAACAGTTGTGCCAAATTTTAAACAAGAAAATTCCGTAAAATCTTGGAAGAAAAGATAAAGAGAACAGATCTTCAAACTTTATGGAGACATTTTTTGGTTGATCATTCCTCACGACTTGTTTATCAAACATTTGTGTTCGTGGGTTGTAATGGGATTTAGTGTCTGGTAGTCTGTAATGTGTGATTATGAATGCGGCAACCCTGTGGATCGTCAGCGCAACTTTATGCGGGATAAATTGTGTACCAATAAAAAGTTACAATTAGATTACCCACCACCAGGCCCAGGGTCTATGCAAGAGTTACCCGCTCCTGATGGATCGGCTGAGTGTCCGCAGACATTTAATTACCAAAACAAGCAGAAATATGTGTTACAATTACGATTCAAATGTTTTATGGATGGTAAACAAGTGCTGACGCATAAAACCTTATCTTATCCTGAATGTTCTCAGTACTGACGATATATCAAGGAGAAATAATGACTTCATTTTTATAAACGAACAACTTATCAAACATAGGAAGATATTTCCAACCTCATATAATTTGTTATGATCAGCTTTCAGTCTGAATTTTGATTGAATCACACTTTATCTAATCTGATGTAAAATTATTTTAAGAGGAAATCCTGATCAGTAACCTCGTCCCTAAACAGTTCCGATATTATTCCAGATGAGTTACACCAATTTCAATAACAAACGATTTTCCCCACTTTCAACTTGGAAAGCGTGTGCCGAATGAAAAATACCACCTTAACAAATAAAAAAAAAAAACTCTATCACAGCACTTTTTTACAGACTCCGGCTCCTAACAAACACCCTCAGGCCTTAAAAAAAAAATGCTCCAAAGACCTCCAAACTAACACCCTTAAAACCGATGCTCTCTTTAAAAATATCTTTCTAGTTGCTAACACCCTTCTATAAATAGGTTTCCTTAGACACTCTTTCACCGTTTCACTGATGCCTCCCCTCACAAATACCAAAATCAACAACAGATCCCTGACCATTTTTTTTATTAGATTTTCTAACTTATTGAACATAAACTTTTAAAATTTCTAATTTGAACTTTTTCTGCTTTGGTATCATAATTAATCCCCCACCCAAATCCTTCTTTATAGGGGGTTATCATAAACACCCTCAAACACCCTACAGAATAATGATGGCTAGATTCCTACAAACACCCTTCAACAGTTTTCTTCCCTCAATCTAAGAGTCTTCAAAACAGACCCTCCTACAAATACCTTCCTACTACCTCATATCACACCCTTCAACAAATGCTGTCTTACAAATATTTTTCTCAAACAAACTTCCAAATACGGCCTTTCTGTGATACAAACCCCTTTCAATAGCCAAATCACAGCCCGAAACCCTTCATTTACAATACCATCTAAATCCCGGCCACAAACCCGACCTTAAAAAAACCAGGTACCATTTTAACAATGGCCCCAAACCCTACCTAAAGATACCAATGTAACTCTGGCCCCAAACCCTACCTAAAGATACCAATGTAACTCTGGCCCCAAACCCTA